AATGTCTGCGCATGCGGCTCCAGAACCTCCCGAGCAGCACGTGCAGAGAGCCTCAGTTTAATGTAGGGGCTTCAAGAATTAGAATAGGCTTTCGTGCTCCTTTATAGTATAACTCTGATCAGGTAATATTGGCAAGTATTCCTACATCCACAATCTCAAAAGTCGGAGACTGCATCCTTGGCGCTTTGAAATTTCAACCCCGGAAAAGCCTTTCAACTGTGTACGCCTGTTGGAGATGCGGTCAAGATTCGATCCGGTACTCTTCGCCTTCACCTGCGGCTTCGGATTCAAAGCTGCTCTTTACAGTTAAGGCTAGGGGTTTACCCTTAACCCCAAACGCTAGGTCTAGGGTGTATAGGGCTTGAGGGATCAGATAAGAGGCTCCCAGGAGATTCTGTCAATTGGCTCGGCTTCCGAATCCGCCGACATCACAATCCTTAACACCCGAAAGCCTGGATCATGGGAGTTCTAGCCGTGGTCGTCATCGTCGTCGTAGTGGTAGTTGTAGTAGGGATACAAGAGGAGGAACATAGTAGTAACAATCACGACAATCATAACAAAAGAAAGAACACTATTTATTACTGTAAGGCCCCCGAGATTATCGTCTTCATCCCTTTGAGTCCCGGCCGTCTCCGGTGAAGGGCTCTTCTCTCGGGCGGTACGTGCGGGGGAATAGTCCTGCCAGCAGGACGATTTGTCACATCTCCTCAGACTTCGCAGCTTGAATTGTCAGTCCCTGCACCCTTCTGCAGATAATCATCAAGATTCCGGTTGCTTCATCATGCGACTGTCGTCAAGGGAAACTGATGCAAGCGTCTTTGATGCCGACCGGTATCGGGCAAAGCTGCATCCCAAACTCCCAACTCCAAGGCCCCGAAACTCAAGGCCCCGGAGCCAGATTCCCATAGACTCCAATACCCCTTAATTAAGGAATATACCTTAAATCATATTAGGGATCCTACTATACTTTAAGGTATATTCCTTAATTAAGGGATATTGGAGTCTCTGGGTTCAGGTTGAAGCAAGAACTTCTGCCGCTACCCCGAAGGCGACCTATCTCACACATGAGACCTCTATAGGGCGCTATGCAAACCCTCAACTCACGTCTCTACGCCGCTCCTCAATCTGGCTAGGGAGAGGGAGCGTGAGGGTCTTGACAGAGGCGCCCAGAGACACGTCCAGGTCCTCGAGGCTCATTGTTGTATTGCTCTCTCTGGTGGCTTTTGGGCAGGGAGGCACAGGAGGGGACTTTTCTGGGTTGTAGAAACTAGGTCAACTCACAGAATGGGTATGGGAGGACAACAGACAGCCTCCTCTGGAAACAGGATAGTCAACCAAAACCCCATACGTCCGACACCCCTGGAAGATCCTGGAACCTTAACGTGCCGACCAAAGGCATCCCTCCGCTGGAGCCGCTGGAAGGGGCTGCTATCCTCCAGTGGCCCATCTGAGCGGGTCGGGCTCTGCACACCCGTGCTGGTGTCTTGCGTGTGTGGGCGGGGGGGGGGGGGGGG